AAAGTCACTAAGATTGGGGTAAAAGTTAAACTTTCCATTACTGGGCTTTTCCCCATGCTCCCTCAGTTACTCCTGAAGCATCTTGCCCGCAGGAAGCCCCGCTAATTAAGACTTCTGTTATCAAGTTGAACTTCAGTGTAATGCTGGCAGGGACGCTAAGCTTCATTTTCATGTTTACACTCAATCCAGATCAATTTCTGATGTTTGGCCAGCTGCGCAGGTTTAAAGTAGACATCCTTGCCATTGGTTCGTTCTCCTGAACACACCAGGAGCTCCTCCTTTCTTTTCAGAAGAAGTGTTAACAAGCGTATGAGTTTTAAAATTTTAAATTTTATTTATATGTATGTGCCTAAAGACCTTGATGATTAAACGGGAGTTGGCCAAAGATTCCGAGTTACGAACCCAGAGTTGGGAAAGATTTTTGCCACAGTTCAAGCACAAAAATGTGAACAAACGCAGGGAACCGAAGAAGAAGAGTGTTAAGAAGGAGTACACGCCATTCCCTCCTCCGCAGCCGGAAAGTCAGGTGAGTGTCGTGGTAAATGCAGGACAGACGAAACTGACCTGGTTTTGGGAATGTTACTGAGAGTGTAGGTTGGGAGTAGGTGTGCAGGCATCAGGATGTGAGAACTTGACAGCAAGGGTCTGGGGAGTGATCATCACCTGTGGTAAACGATTGGGGGAGGTGTCAGGCAGCCAGTGTTCTGTATGTAAAAGAAGCCCAGGGAGTTAACGTTTTGTGACCATGTACTGAATCATTTTAGAAGTCTTAACTCTCATCCATTTGCTTCTAAGTTATGGATTCCTTCACTTTTTACCTTCTCTCTGGTTCTTTACGCTCATGGCCAGGACTTCTGTTCCTTTCTTCCCCCATCTCTTTTTCATGTGCCTTTGTCTTTCAGCCACACCCTCCCAGCAAAACCCAAAATCTTAAAGTTTAGGCCAAAAAATTAAAGTGGAGAAAAGTCCTATTTTTGGATTAAAGTCACTAAGAATTCATGTCTCCAAGCTCTCTCGGCCTGTGTGGCCGTCCTTTGTGTCTCTCTCTCTCCAGCTCCCTCTGACACCAGGCAGACACAAACACTGACATTTTACGGACAACAATTTTTGAGGCCATCAGAAAAGAATGATCCCCCATCACCACATTAGTCCTTTCTTCTTGCTTGGATTTTATCTGTACCTACCTGGAATTTTGTTTATTTCCTCTTTGCCTGTACCGTAAAATATCCAGTCTTTACTAGGTTGTTTCTGATAGGAACATCTTCCGTTCCTCACAGTCCTGTGTTGTTTCCAGGGAAAGTCTAAGGGCCAGGGGTGGGAAGTATTAGAGTGAAGATTATCATGAGAAAATGTGAATGCCAGGCAGGGAAAGGAGGAAAAGTGAGACCAGATGGGAGATTGGAGCAGGGGTGGGGTGCCATGCTGTGACTTCTACGACTTTGTGGGAAGTCCTGACATTAGGAATTGTGATGTCTCTGACTTTCTCCCTTTTAAAGAGTGCTTTGGCTCTTTTAAGATCTGTGCTTCCATGTGGACTGTAGGCTTGCTTTTTCCATCTGTGAAGAATACTAATCGCTGTGGGTAGCATGGACATTCATCAGTCCTGACTCCTTGAATCTATTAGCAAGGAAGAGGCTTTCATCTTCTGTATTTGTTTCTTTCATTAGTGTTTTATCATTTCCATTGCAGAGGTCTTTCTTAACTTTCTGGTTCTGTACGAAAATGTGTGCTCTAACGAGTAAGATTGCTTCCAGTCTTGCTCAGTCATGTTTTCCAGGACATCCATGAATGTAGCCCACTGCATTTGTAGATGAGTCATGGTGTAATATGAAAAGATTGGACACCCTTGAACTTAGCAAATTGTTATTGGGGGCGTAGAAAAGCTAATGGCTTTGTATGATGGTCTTTTCCCAAATGCATTCATCAGTTCTAATACTGGTATATTAGAGTCCTTAGCTTTTTCTACATAGTTACATCTGTAAACAGGTCATTTGATTTCCTGTTTGCCTTTTTTCTTACCCAATTGCTGTGGCTACAGCCTCTGGTGCTATGCTGAATAAAAGTATTGAGTGGACATCTTTAGTTCTTGATCTTACAGAGTTTTCCAGTGTGATGCTGACTCTGGGTCTCTTACTCATAGCGTTTATGTTGAATTTTATTAACTCCTTTCACTGTATCCATTGAGGTGACTATGGATTTTGTGTTTGATTCTGCTTCGGTCTTAGCATGTATTGATTTGTGAAGAACTGTCTGCAAATTTTGATTTACTGGCCGTTCTTTCATCCATACCCCTGCAGAGTAGGAACATTCTCTCCCCTTGCTCAGTAGGGAAGATATGTTTTTCTTGGGCTGCTGTTATGGGCTTTTTAATATTAAATACTTTATCTCTTGGTGATACCCCATGTATTCATGCTCATTCACCCCAAAATAGTGAATACACCTGTTACTTTGACTCTCTGAGGAGAGGGAAAGGCCCGGCACCTCCATTTTTCTGGCTTAGAAGTTTTTTGAAACAGTAGTGCCTCCTTGGACCTGTCCTCATACCTTTCTTTGAACAGTGTATTTTATCTGACGTGTTCATGGGTCAGTGTCCTCGTGGAGCTGTTAACGAGGATTAAACCTCAAGAATTAAGATAGTAAGCCCAGCAGTGGTGGCGCACGCCTTTAATCCCAGCACTCGGGAGGCAGAGGCAGGCGGATCTCTGTGAGTTCGAGGCCAGCCTGGTCTACAAGAGCTCGTTCCAGGACAGGCTCCAAAAGCTACGGAGAAACCCTATCTGGAAAATCAAAAAAAAAAAAAAAAAGAATTAAGACAGTGACTTTGTGTTCCTTCTCTTCTTCCCTTTGAGACAGGGTCTAGCCCTGTTGACGTGGTTAGCCTTGAGTTCCATTCTCTTACCTTAGTCTCTCTGGGTACTACGACTAAGGCCTGCTCAGCCTCACCTGGCTTGAATCCTCATGGCTTCTGTCCGTTCTAAGTCATGTTCCACCTTCTTGGAGTCTCAAGTTCCACCCCTCTGCCCTGAACCCGTCTGACTCCATTTTCTGAAACCCTGACTTTGGTCCTGAGTTAATGAGCTTGTGTCTCATGAACAGCAGCTTCTGTCCTATCGCCACGCTTGTATTAGCCTCAGTGCACACTTCCTCCTGTGTGACCAGCTGATTAGAGTGCCCATTCCACACTGTCACCCCAGGACGCCGTGGCTTCTTAGGAAAGCACCTTCATCTGCATTATTTGATCTAACTGTGAACCCCGTCTCTGATAGATTGATAAAGAGTTGGCTAGCGGCGAGTACTTTCTGAAGGCGAAACAGAAGAAGCGGCAGAAGATGGAAGCAATCAAGGTGAGGCTCCAGGGGCTCCTCACAACATTCCCAGCAAAGTTTGGTACCACTTGTGTTTACTAACGTGTTTCTCCTGGTGTAGGCCAAGCAAGCAGAAGCTCTTACGAAGAGGCAGGAGGAAAGAAACAAGGCGTTTATTCCACCTAAAGAAAAGCCGGCTGTGAAGCCAAAGGAAGGTAAGTAACTAGATGCATGTCCATCTCACACACCTAGGCAAAGTAGTGTATAATCAAGGCTTTTATATTCGAGGGGTGCTGCATATAGGACCCCGCAGCCTCTGCCCTGGGCTGTAAAGGTGTAAATTGAGAGCCGTCTGTTGCCTCAGTGAAGACAGCTGCCAGGTCGCAGGCCTTTGCTATCTGTGGCTTGGAAGCTGATATCCGTGTCAGCTCGCACTTCACCTTAGCTTAAAAGCAAAGCCACAGGAAGTCTCGATCAGGTGTCTGGCCTCATTCTGTCCACCCTCTCTAGTTTCTTTGCCTCTGGTGACACTTGTCAGAGCGACCCTCCAAAGGCAGCATTTTTCTTTAAAGTTTCAGTAATTATAATTACTACTATAGTAAAGCAGTTGCTTCAGAGTTGGAGGTCTAAAAATGTGTCAGTCATTGGAGGTACAGACATTTGTCTTTTGATTCTCTCGTGGTTGGAAAACTGGAAACTACCTTTATAAAAGAAAGTTTCACCCTTTTAAAATTGCTTTCTGTAGCCTTTTGACACCAGCGCTACAGTTTGGCCTGTTAAGATCACCAGGTGCTCTCACATAATAAAATAAGCCTTGTTAAAACTGAATACTTTTTATGGAATCCAATTCTAAATTATTTTGTATGCAATATAGAAAATTATGATGACATACTAATCTAATGAATACTCAAAGGAGTTGACTGTAATTGAGTATATTATCTTGCCATTTTATCTGTATGATTTGTTTTCTCAATTCTTAGGTCTCTTAAGATGATCTCTTAATTGTTAAAAAATGTGAAATTTGAATATTTTCTTCTAAAACTTTGCAGCTCCTGCTGAAACTAAGATTGATGTGGCGGCTATTAAGGAAAAGGTTAAGAAAGCAAAGGGCAAGAAGCTGGGAGCTCTTACAGCAGAGGAGGTTAAGCTTAAGATGGAGGCCGACGAAAAGAAGCAGAAGAGAAAAAAGTAACACTGCAAAAAAACCTGGAACTGAACTTTGAAAGGTGTTTCCTTTTGTAAAGGATTTTGAGATGGCTTTCTCTGCCTTACCTGGCCGTGGTCATGCTCAGGAAGTCATGACCAGAGTGTTGTCTGTTCATGGACAGTCTTTGTAAATACATTCATATATATTCTGTAGTTTCTGCGAGACAATGATAGATACCCATGTACATTGTGCCCAATCAGTCCAGACATTTTAGGAATACCTCTTTTATATAGATTTTTGGAACAAGATTATTGATCAAATCCAATGTCTTTTGCCATTGGTTAGTCTTTATAAAAATACCCAAAGCGTTTGGTTTTGAGGAAAATAAATGCAAAGTTTCCACTGCTACTGGCAACTATTTTGGCTTCTCTCTGTAATTTTATTACAGGATAAAACAACCCACAAACAGAAAAGCCAAGACTCTTGTAAATCAAATCTCTCACTTTTAACTCTGAGCCAGAAAAATGTCTATGGGTGTCTAATCTGCATGTGCCCACAGAGGCCAGGCCCTCCACAAGAGCAGCAGGTGTTTTTACCAAAGATGTATTCTGCAAATCTGAACCCCAGGGAATCTGTTTCTTGCTGAAAGCCTACCTGTGGCAACCTAGACAGTCCTTATTCGTAAGAGTTTACCTCTTTGTACATTTAGGAAACTAAGCGGTCCTTCTAAGTCTTTATTAAAACATTTTTCTCAAATGTTTTACAATAGCCACTTATAAGATGCCTGCCAACGATGGCATTAGTCCAAAAGAACTAAATTAGGGTATTTGTGCTTTACCAAAATGGTAATTATAACCGACAGTAAGAGAAGGACTGCCTTAACAATGAGGAAGAGAGATGTGTATCTGTTCCGTAGATATATGGGCCTTCCTGGGTAGTCGCCAGAGTAGTAACCTGTGAAACAGAATGTGCTTTAGTTTCTCCTGTGCTGACCCAGTCCACAGTGCCCAGAAAAACAGTTTAAAGTTTGCATACTTACGTGAGACACCGTCTCTTCGTGGGTTAACTGCAAGAGCAGAATTAAAAGGTTAGGTTTTGATTTACATCTTTATAACCATGAACTTGATATGGCTTTAATTACAGTGATGGTGGTTTGAAAGAGGGTGGCATGCGTAGAAGGTGTGGCTTTGTTGGAGGAAGTGCGTCTCTGTGGGGGTGATATGGGAAGTCCTTCTGTTATGTGTTGCTTTTATTGGTTAATAAGGAAGCCGCTTTGGCCTGTGATAGGGCAAAGTAGGCTAGGAGGGAAAACTGAACACTTGGGGAAAGCAGGTGGAGTCAGTGAGATGCCATGTAGCTGCTGCAAAAGGAGACAGACACCCGAGAGCCTCGTGAGTTAATTTAAGATGTAAGAACTAGCTAGAAATACGCTGGAGTCATTGGCCAAGCAGTGTTGCAAATAATACAATTTCTGTGCGGTTATTTTGGGTCTCGGCCAACAGTGGGAGTGGGCTTTGAGGTCTCCTATGCTAAAGCTGCTCCCAGTGTCAGAGACCATTTCCTGTTGCCTTCTGGTCAAGATGGAGCTAGCACCATGTCTGCTTATATGCCACCATGCTCCGCACCGTGATCATAATGGACTGAAACTCCGAAACCGTAAGTGAGCCACCCCAATTAAATGTTTCTTTTTTTTTTTTTTTCTTGGTTTTTCGAGACAGGAGGGTTTCTCTGTGGCTTTGGAGCCTGTCCTGGAACTAGCTCTGTAGACCAGGCTGGTCTCGAACTCACAGAGATCCGCCTGCCTCTGCCTCCCGAGTGCTGGGATTAAAGGCTTGCGCCACCATCGCCCGGCTTAATTAAATTTTCTTATAGAGTTGTCCTTTCACAACAATAGAAACCCTAAGACTGATTGTCAAAGATGAACCAAGTTTTTGCTATTAATTCAACTTATTCAGTTCATATAAAAAGACTGAAAAAATGTGAATTTTTGAATTCTACCACAGTTAATGGGAAAAATATTTACCATGCCACAGCCACCAGATGAATCTTATTTTGGGCTGTGGTTGAAACTCAAGGTTAAAGCATGTTTTGTTTTAAATAATGCAATTAAAGTTATTTCCTAAGCCCGTCCCCAAGAAGAATGATAAATCCTGTTTATGATCCAATGCAGTGGACTTAGAGAAAGAGACAGGACTGTGGCTTTTGCTGAGCTCCAGATTTTTATACTCAGCACTGGGAAAGAAAAGTGCCCTAATTAATTGCTTTGGCATTCTAGAAGCTTTCCTCTACATGGACTGCTATTAAATGCCTAGATGGAACCATCTGGAATTTGTTAGGGCACTCACCATCACCTCTCTCCAGCCATCGTACCTGAGCCACCACAACCCTAACATCTCCTGACAGCTGTACCCAGGAACTTGCTGAGTGCTTGTTCTAGTTCTTCCCTGTGCATCTGCAGAGTTGTAGTCTACTTTCAACTACAGAAACAAATGGACATCCGTGCCCTGGCTAAGACCACCTGATGCGTGACAGGCATGTCAAGGCATTCACACAGTAGTCTTGCATAATGAATGATAAACAGTGGATTTTAGTACTTCATCTAATACTATAATATGTCCGTTAGGTTAAATAAGAGCTCTTATCTATCAATTTTTACCCCCTAAAACCTCACTGTAAAAGGTGGGGTGGTTTTTCTTTTTTCCAGTTGGAAACACTCTTATTCAGTATTGGTACAGAAAAAGTGGAGTGCTTCCAAACAGGCCAACATTTCCATTTAAAAAAGTATAGAAATTGAACTTTGTAAATAGAAAGATGAGTGACAGCCTAGAGGTTAAATCATCTAAAGTAAATGGTAACATGCAAGTTTGTCTCTCTTGAGCCCAGGGATTTTTGTGGCTGGACTACAGCCTTCATCTGTTTTACCAACCATAGACACCGTCTCCAGTTAGAGCTCTAGAAGCTCTGACATCAATAGCATTTCCGTAGGGTGGCAGATACGGAGCTAGAGGGCGTGTAGTCATTCAGTGAGCTATCAGGTGGTAGTGTTGTCGTTTTACTCTGGAGGAGATGGGTACAGAGTGACGGTCAGGGTCGCAGAGATCGAACTGTACATTAGACTGGCTCTGAGAAGAACTTAGCTGCACATAGTAGGTGCGTGTTACTAAGTTTCCTGGTGAGGCTGCTGCTATGTATGAGTAAGATAATAATACATTAGGAGAAAAATGGGTTAGGTGCGTATTTCATACCTGAAAATTTTAGTGTTTAAATGGGGGAAAAGGGGGGCAATTTACCAAAATTTAGGTGTGGAAGGGACTTTGGGAATTGCAGTGAGAATGCTGCTTATCTTATTGTTTTGAGTTTGGGTTTTTTTACTTTTATGTTATTTATTCTTGGTTTTGTTTTTCATATTTGCTAAGTTTATTATTCACTGTTTATATTGTCTGCCCTTTTAGAGCCCCTTTTGAGAAAAATATTTTTTATGACTAAAAAAGCAACTTCCAACTGTAAAACACACACATTTCCTGAGAGGATTCATAAGTGAAGCTTGGGCTACCAGCCCCCTCCCTCCTGAGCACCCCTTATCCTGGCCTTACACCCATGAGGCAGTTTGTCACAGATAGCACACAAAAGAACTGAAAGAACCGCGGGGTTGGCATAACCATGGTAGCTTCAGGTTCCTTTCATACCATGGGACAATGGACATCTTAAAGGACACTCCCTTAAGCTTACGTGTGGTCCTAGAACAGTAAGCTGTTGGCTTGTTACAGGTCTCTAGAAAACAGCTCCCAGGATAAAACACCACCTATACCTTAATTCTATTGTGAGATTTTATTGTTATCTTACTTACTGCAGAGATTGTTGAGACACCTGTCATCCTTTGGGCAATCACTGCAAGTGGTTCCTTGCTTGTATGGCCACGTTGGGTAATTTCCTCTGTGAAGCAGAAGACAGTTAGTGGAGGGCTCTCGACACAATTGTGCTTTACTCTGAATGCCTAACCAGGTCCAGAATCAGATGGCTAATAAAATGCCTAGAGACGGAAGCAAGCGGGAGGGTGTATAATTTATACCATCTCACTTAACTATGATCACTCTGAGAATGAATTAGTTTTGTTTCTGTTTAGCAGGTAAGGAAACGAGGTCTGGGAGATTAATAACTCCCCCCAAAATCTCAGATTATATATATAAGTCAGGAAGAAATCTAGAAATGTCTTATGTTGGAATTTTTTTTCTACTTAACCCAAAGTGTCTATGATTACTTCCATCCAACACTGCCTATCCTAGAAAAACAATTCCACGTTCTCTATAGTGACCTGGTACACTGAAAATAGTTTATACTAGATACATTATTGGGCTGGGGTAATGAACACCAAAAGAAAATGATGGGGAAACAAGTCGCTTGCATATAAACAATGATGTGACTAGTAACTGATAATTACTGTGATAAAAGAGCTAAGGTACGGGGAGAGCTCTGGAAAATGCCTGCCATGCAACCACAAAGACCCCGTGTTCATTCTTCAACTTTTTCTGAAACACCAAGACTGGCAGTGCTTGTTTGAAGCGCTGGCTTTAGGGAGTTAGGCAGGTGGGTCTCAAACTCACTGAGTGACCAGCGAGCCTCAGGTCCCAGTGTAATATCATTGAGAGATGGCTCAGTGGTTATGAGCCCCTGCTCCTTCCGAGGACCTGGGTTCAGTTCCTAGCACCCACGTGTGGCTTCACACCACACTCCATGACTCCTGACCTTGGTTCCAGAGGATCCGACACCCTCTTCTGATCTCTGAAGGCACCAGGTACACACATGGTACACATAGAAATGTGTAAGTAAACCAAACACATGAACAAATCTAGATTAAAAACCATAAATACAAACACATACATGTGTGCCTGCACATGTACATCTCCTAACCCCCACATCAACATACATGGGTACCTGCACACACATACATCTCTGTACCCCCTCACCAACACACATGGGCACCTGCACACATGCATCTATACCCCCACACCAATATACTTGGGCACCTGCACACACGTGCATCTGTACCCCCACACCAACTTACATGGGCACCTGCACACATGTGTACTGTACCCCCCACACCAATATACATGTATACTTGCACACATGTGCATCTGTTCCCCCCTCCAACACCACTGTTTTTGTAATTATTAGAACCAAGCAGCAAAATGTCTATTTCTGGTCTGACCGCAGGCTTCTGAGTATGTATGACTCACAAGCACAGTAAAGTAGAATTGCTTTTCTAATTGCCAGAGGGGACAAACTGTTTCCACCTGAAAAACTCAACTGGCAAAAGAAGTAATATGAATTGAGCAATTCCACCTTGTCTATTTTTAAGTGTGGGAAGTATTCTATTATTTTAATAAAATAAGTTAATATAAATCCTCCATTCTTGTATTATCAATATATCAATTTATGTCCCTGGCAAGCATTTTGATCTTGCTACTCTTAAAGATGAAGGCCTTCTGTAGTGTTAATAAAGCTCACACACATACACATACATACCGGCAAAATGTATTAGAATATTAATGGAGTATGTCTCCGGGTAGAGAATTTAGAGGCCTTGTGATTTTTCTTTATACATTTTCTATATTGAACATGCATACCTGTAATATATTTTTAGAATTTAATTCAGACACTTACGCTGGTCCATAGTTGCATATAAAATGTGCTCCATTGGAAAGCTTTTCAAAGTTACCAACTCTAGGGCAAAATTGCACCGCACAGCCAACCTTGTAACTATCTGCCCAAACAACCTGAAAGTACAGGAGAGTGTCTTAGCATAGAAATGAACAATTGATTATCGTCAGGGGCTTCGTAATTATGGGAAGAAACTCTAAGGGTACGACATTCTTTACTAGGGAAATTTTGGGTGCTCAAAATTCCAATGAATACTCTGAGCCAGAAACTCTCAACTGCGGTCACAACCTCTTTGGGGGTCACATTTCAGATCTCCTACATATCATATATTTATGTTATGATTCATAGCAGTAGCAAAATTACAGTTATGAAGTAACAAAACAGTTTTATGTTTGGGGGTCACCACAACACAAGGAACTGTATTAAAGGGTCACAGCATTAAGAAGGATGAGAACCACTGCTCTAAGCCATGCTTCCTATAGGAAGCTACAGCAATAAAATAAGACAGGGTAACCTGACGGATTGAAGAAAGCAGCTGATTCAAAGAGGTGTTGAGGGGAGCCCTCCGAAATGCCTTTGAAGTGAGACACAAGTGATGAGGATGTGGACTGAGAAGAAACATAGAAGACATGACAATGGACAACATCCATTCTCAGAGATTAAGGTTACTGGGGTGCAAGTCCCTAGACATGTTAAGAGTTGCAGAAGCACGTACTGGCTTTGTGGGAGCCTAGGCAGTTTGGATGCTCACCTTACTAGACCTGGAAGGAGGTGGGTGGTCCTTGGACTTCCCACAGGGCAGGGAACCCTGATCACTCTTTGGGCTGATGAAGGAGGGGGACTTGGTCGGGGGAGGGAAATGGGAGGCGGTGGCGGGGAAGAGACAGAAATCTTTAATTAAAAAAAAAAAAAAAAAGCAAAGTGGAGCCTCGAGAGGACCAAACCAAAGGAATTCTGTTAAGTAACAAAATACTCTTTCTGGTATCTTAGCAAAGTCCACTTGGTGCTTAGGAAGTGAACTGAGGAGAGCAAGGGGAGGAGGAGGCAATGCTGGAGGCTGTTTCCAGTGTGAAGAATGAACACACGCTAGGCCCTGGTGCTGCATGCCTTTAATACCAGCATAGGACAGGCTCCATCACTACAGAGAAACCCTGTCTCAAACAGAAAAGAATGAAAAGAGGAAGGAAGGAAGGAAGGAAGGAAGGAAGGAAGGAAGGAAGGAAGGAAGGAAGGAAGGAAGGAAGGAAGGAGGATGGGGGAAAGAAAAAGAAAAGAAAAAGGAAAGAAAAAAGGAAGAAAGGACATAAGGCAACTCTTAGGTAATGAAATTCCTAGAAACTGATGGAGGTCACGCCTGACAGGTGTAACTGAAAACATTTTGTTTTAAATATGGGAAGCATTTGAGTTTGGGACCCAAGTGATGTTTATTGAGACAGAAAACTAGGGAATAGTCAAGGTAGGTAGGAACGTGGGCACACTGTTCTATTCAGAACATGTTTGGGGCTGCCCTGTAAAGGCTGGCAGAGCTGCTGGCCCTAAACATCTGCAGTTCAGAGGATGGGTTAACAACAGAGATAGAAAACTGGAGGGCACAAGGCTAAATCAGACCATATAGGCAAGGAAAAAAAAAAAAAAAAAACGGGGTAACTGCAAATCTGGGTTAAAGAAATACAGTCACTTAAACAGATGTAAAATGTGGTCCCTGATGTAGCGGAAATGGAGAACAGAGCTGGTTCCCAAGGAGACAGCTGTGCTGTCAAACTGGGTCTCGTACTCACAGGAGCTCCAGACTTGGTTTAATACGCTGCTGCATAGTTAGCACCTTCGGTGGTACTCCCTCCCTCTCCCTCTCGGTTTTTCAAGACAGGGTTTCTGTGTATAACAGTCCTGGCTGTCTTGAAACTCACTCTGTAGACCAGGCTGGCCTTGAACTCACAGAGAGATCCACCTGCCTTTGCCTCCCCCGAGTGCTGGGATTAAAGGCGTGCACCACCACCGCCTGGCTCTTCTTATTCCACCTCTTCATTTCCCACCTATTCCCATAAATCATGTGGCTCATCTTGACTAAGAATGATCAGTATCAAAGATTGCCAAAAACATTTGAAAACCTAACTAGCTCTTTAAGACAAACCAACCATTTATACAAAAATATACTTTAAAATTAACTTTTTGCCATAATTATCAAGTCATTTTGTGCCAAGGATTGTGTCAAATATGGGGGCACAGTGGTCACCTAGGACCTGCAGGAACTGGGCCTGCAGACAGAAGCCATCACGGGAACTGTTCTATAGAGCTCTGTTCACTATTACTGGTTCTAATACATGGGCTAGGACCACTCCTCTCAGAAGTGGAGCTGAGCTGGAGCTTCTTTGGGGGCCACAGACATGTCTTTAAACATGGAGCAGAGTCCTGTGTGAACACTTTCTTCCACAGTGTTTTACCCTAAAGATCCTTCATCTTTGGATGAGCTTTTCAGAAATGGGCAAATATTGCTTAGCATGCATGGTATGCTTTAGTTAGTATGTTAGCTGTTAGTCACTGACACAAAATTTCAGAGGGAAGGCATGTTCCAGGTCATATAATCTCAGGGTGTTTTAGGTCGTGATCTCAGGGGGTTCTAGGCCATGACCTCAGGGGTTCTAGGTCATGGTCCCAGGGGGTTCTAGGTCATGATCTCAGGGGTTCTAGGCCATGACCTCAGGGGGTTCTAGGTCATGATCTCAGGGGGCTTTAGGTCATGATCTCAGGATATATGCTTAGTTGTCATCCTTACCTTTAGGTCTGTGATGAGGTTTAGAGAAACTAGTTACACCTTGTGGTATCCAGTGAATCAAAGAGAGAAAAGAGGGTAAAGTCCCTATATCTTTTTCAAGTGAATACCCCTATCTTCCTTTGCCTGAACCCCACCTAAATAAAGCTTTCACTATTTCCCTACAGTGCTTCAGGCCTTCAGGAGACCTTGATGATCTCAACCCTTACAGTTTTCAAAGTCGGGTTAACTGGATATGGTACTTCACACCTGTAATCCCAGCACTTGGGAAGCTGAGAAAGGAAGCTCACTGTGAGTTCAAGGCCTACCTGGGCTTCACAGTGAATCTCAGGCCAGTCTGGGCCATAGAGTTGGTCCTGTTGTTATCTTTACCTAAGAGCCAAAGGAGCAAGCCAGGGTCACACAGCATCAAGGCAGAATCTGAACTCAGATCCAAATTGAATCTGGAACTTTCCCCCTAGTGAATCCATTAAACAAAAACGGGAAGTTGCTAGCCTGACTCCAGTAACAGGTAAAATGTTGAAGTAGAGTCAAGAAATACTGTACTGTTCACTCAGTTGAGAGATACTCAGTTGAACTCATGCCCCATACTCTGTACCAGCTATCACTGGGCCACAGATATAAACAAAATCATTTGCATAAAGGTGAGGGTAAGGAGAGGTTACAATCCCCACCTTAGGTAACTTTCCAGCAGGAAGCTGGAGTGACTGAATTGCCTTGAAACCCACAGCAAGGTCTCTTCGAAGGCTGAAGCAGGAATTGTAGCCAAGATATAGCAACATCCTCTTCCAACGTGATTTGTTAGAAAATTAGATCCTGATGGCTAATCTTTGCTAAGTGCTTACCAACAAGTACTGGCCCAGATTCCTCCACATCACCCTCTGAGAAATGAACTTATGGACCCATACTTTATTGGGTCGCAGTCTCAGAGATAAGAGTCAAGAGAAACAGGAGTGAGGCAGGGAAGGCAGGATACGGTTGGAAATGGTTTCTGGCTCCCAGGCTAGCTCCCTCTGATTTGGGGAGACATGTATGCATAACTAGCCCAAAGCAAGACATCTGACACAGGCTGTGTGCGCAAAGAAGACACAGAAACTATATAGCCAAGGGCCCACACTGCGAGATGTATGACTTGCCTCTTGAAAAGTGGAATTTGTCAAATGAAAAGAAAGGCTTTAGGATCAATTAACCAGGTATAGAAGGTGTACAATGTATATGAATAAGCCTTGTGCTTTAGTTGAATTTTAAGTAACTGAGCATGCAAAATACATGGCCCTCAGAAGATGGCTCACTTGGGGCTGGAGAAATGGCTCCAAGGTTAAGAGTGCTCTTCCAGAGTTCCTGAGTTCAATTCCCAACAACCATATGGTGGCTCACGGCCGTCTATAATGAGATCTGGTGCCCTCTGGCATGCAAGCACACATGGAAGAAATGTTGTATACATAATAAATAATTTAAAAGAAGAAGAAGATGGCTCACTTTATAACAGACTTGTAAGCCTTACTTGTATGCCCTTATCCCAGGGAGTTACAATAAGAGGAGTAAGGTCAGGTTCATATCATATAGACTAGAGGCAGCGGAAAACGTCCCTAAAAAGTCTCCCTTTACATCCATGGGGGAAAAGGAGGGCTTGTACTTGGGACATGAGAAAACTGACTTCCAAAATCATATCTCTCATATAGCTATAAGATCAAATTAGTGGTCCTAACCTCTTCAGTAGAGGATGTAACCCTCGACAACCATTTTATAAGTGAGCATGGGCTTTACACCTTTCTAAGCTGATAGACTCAATCTGTTCTTACCACAAGCATAGAAGGGAGGTTCTACCATCCATATGTCAACAAATTGAGTTGGAGAGTTTACGATGCTTCCCTAAAGCCACTTAGCTAGCGAGGAGAGTTCAGATTCACTTATCAGAGACATTGCAAAGCTTTAAGTAACATAACATGCAGGCTATCTCATACGGGTATCTCATACTGCCTGAGCTGATGGCTCTGGCATATGACCTTTTCCATGTCACTAATTCTCCAAGTATATTTACCTCTCATATTTATAATTTATAATATAATCATATTTATAATACTAGCTCACTATATATTTTCTCAACTCTGCGTTCAGTTTTCCACCTTTAAAAAGATGATTCTAAGAGGCTGTAGGGATGTACTTACCTGAGTGTAATGACCACAGACACCCGTGCATCTCCTAGTCCTGAAGTCATAGTACTTGACTTCATTGTACCAGGATGAGATGGCTGAAGATACTGAAAAGAGACTTAAAGATCCAGTCCAGATATTTTCTCCCACTGTGGTGAAGTTCGGGTGCAGCCGTGATTTCAGCCGTGGATTGTGTTCAAACCGACAAACTTTTGCCCACGATTTTGCAATGCGGGCTAGGTCTGAGTCCCAAGACTGAAAAATAATGACATACGAGTCAAAGAAATTTCTTCCTCAAAACTGTGACGATGCAAGGCCTTTTGCCTGCTCATCCAGATGTGCAGAGCCCACTGGCTACTACTTACTTTACCAACCGGTTGTGCTTCCTTTTGCAGTGGGAGTCAAAGCAGCAAATGAAGGGCGGCAAGAATTGAGGAGGAGCTACAGCCTAGAGTAACTAACTAGTCTCAGCCTGCTAACTAGGGCAAGAATACAAGGTCATCAGGTCAGAGAATCCGACTAGGAGTGGAGAAGCAGAAGGATCCATGTCTGCAGGTGACATGGACTGATAACCAGAAGCGCTCAGAGCTGGAAAAGTCCAGTGAGGAAGTGGGGCAAACAGATTCAGCAAGCTACCCTGTGGTAGCTTCTGTATGACGTAGTAGTGAACTTGCTAAGAAACAAAAAAAAAAAAAAGAAAGAAAGAAACCTCCAGAATAGTTCCATTCTGGTAGTCCTCTGACAATTAATTATGTAGGAATCAACCTTACCACAGGGGTGAAAGACCTCTACAATGAGAACCAAACACTGAAGACAGATATTGTAGAAGACACCAGAGCGATGGTTTTCCACCTGGGGGTCATGACCCTTTTGAAGGAGAAGGACCCTTTCACAGGGGTATCATATCAGATATTTACATTATGATTCATAACAGTAGCAAAACTACAGTTAGGAAGTAGCACTGAAAATAATTTTACGGTTGGGGGTCACCGCGGCAGGAGGAACTGTATCAAGGGTCGCGGAGTTAGGAAGGTCGAGAACCACTGCAACTAGAGAGTGGGGAAACTGTTCCTGCTCATGGATTTTTTTGTTGTTGATATTTTCAAATGGCAGCACCGATGAAAGATGTTTACAGATTCACTTCACTGCTAATGCTTCCTTCCTAAAGCTACAAAGAAGAAAGTCAGAAAGTTAACACAGAAACACAAGAGACTCCATATGCCAAAGGACTTCTGAGCAAAAGTATCACCGATAGAGGAATCGTCAACTCTGGACTTCAAAAATATAAAGCGTGGTCAGAAAACAGTCTACTGGAAGAGGACACTAGACAAATGGTATCTGGCTGGGGAAAATGGATAAGCACACACAGAAGCATGAACCTGGGTTCTTCCGGTGTGTAAAAAACCAAGTCAGAATGTGTTACAAAAAACCTTAAGACTTTTGTCAGAAAGGTCCCTGGCCAGCAAGGGGCCCTGATACTGTACCAGAAAGAAGATCCATCAGAGGGGTGAGTGTGTTCCTGACCCGCGGCAGAAGCCTGGGAAATGGAGCACAGACATTCCTCGACCCCCTAAACTTCCTGGTCATTCTGCAGGGGATACTCTCTCCTGCTACTGCCTCTCTCTTCCTATCCCATCCTAGCTTGCTCTCAGGCACCCCTCCCTTCTTCCTCCCTTCCTCAGGGCCATAAGATCCCCCAGCTCAGCCTGTTTGTGTGCTGGGACAGGGTGGTGAGTGCAACCAGGCAGGAGTTCCTTTGTTTCAATAGCCTGCCGGCAGCAA